ACCATAACTTGAATACCTAAAATATTGGCTAAATACTCTAGGGTTTTGAAGGGATTTTGTCGAATCTCTCAATTAGAAATTTCTTAGAATTTGGGCATTCCTCAATAGGCTTTCCAATCAATTCTTTAGGAGGTTCAAAACTAAATTTTGAGAGGATGTGGTGCATTCGAAAAACTACAAGTGATTATCCGATTTACAGTAAGTTGTTAACTTCTCCATCTAATATTTTGTTTGGAACTTAGTGCTTTTTGAAAGGGTTTCGTTCTTGATTTGGAAGAGTTTCGTTCTTGATTGTGTGAGATTTATCGAGTGAGAATTTAATATCTTTATAGTTGTATGTGCATATGTTTACTATAAGTGGGGCTGTCATGGGACCATTGTGTTTTCTGTAATTGATTTTTGTATTGAGTTTGATTAATGGTGTTTGCAAATTTATCATATTTTTTTAAGCAATCAAGAGTTAACTTTAGGGATGTAGATTTATATAATTCAATAATTTTATTTTTCTCCAAAACTTGAGAATTTAAGAGCAGAAGGTTATAGTTTGTCTTTTTTTTTTTTTCTTAATGCTCAAAAGGTTGTAATTTATATTAAGTCTAATTGGTGTGTTACCACTCAAGTCTGTTGCAACTGCCCATGAAACTAGTAATCGAGTTGCTTTAAACATGCATCACTTCTTTGCATCAAAATTTTATTTTCACAAGTAGAATTGGCAAAAAATTAAAATGGAGAAACTATTTCTTTTTAGCTAGGGGTAGACTTTATTTATTCCCTTACATAGTTTATTATCAATTGAAACTTAAAGATTTAAGGCAATAAATTTTTTTGTTTTGAAAGACAAACGGTTGCAATTAATTAGTCTATCACTACTTCATGTTGATTTCAAGCTTATATGGGGTTCATACATCGTTGGATATCTTAGAAATATAATTAATGTCATTTTTCATTTTTTTTCTTTTTAGGCTTGTTTTGTAAATTAAGTTCATTCATTTTTGTTTAGTCTTGTTGGTTGGTCGTTCTTTATTGAAGCCCAACTCTTTGACTCTATGTGTTTAAAGGCCGGTGAGGTGACAATTGGAACCTAAACATTTTTGTAATATATCTTTATTTATTTCAGCTGATAAATCAGAATTCTTCACATGTGTAATTCATCATGGAGGAAAGATAGTGCATGATGAAAAGAAAGGTACAGAGTATAAAGGTGGAAAAGTTAGTTATGTTGACTTGACAAATGTTGATAAGATTTCTTGGCTTGAATTACAAGACATACTTGAGATATTAGGGCATAATATTGAAGACGTGGATTGTTTTTGGTTAAAGCCAGGTTTGAAACTTATTGATGGTCTTATTAAATGCTGCTCCTGTCATTGTTAATCATCCACCAACTCAAGCTTATGCAACTTCATTTGAAGCTCCTTCAAATTTGTTTGATTCTTATGCTTCATGCCAACCTTCAGCTGATGCTTCATCTCAAGCAATGTCAACAATATCACAAGTAGAACCAAAGAAAAGAAAATGCAAATAAGTGAATTTCGTTAAGCTTTTCTTTTCTTTTTCTTTTTTTTTTTCTCTCTCTTTTTGGATTTGGATGGATTGCTAGAGGTACAAACTTTAGAATTTAAATACTTATTCAAGAAATTTTATATTTTTTTATGAATGATAAAAAGCATTTCTATATGGTTTAATATATTATTTTAGCTTTGATTTTATTACTATTTGCATGGATAATATTTTATTTTCAATAAATTTTATATTGTTTTCATTCTTTGTGAAAAAAGGACTTAAATGCATGAGAATAAGAGTTTTTGGGATTAATTGAATATCTTTTGAAAGTTGAGAGACTAAATTGTAAGAAGAAAGGTGCATTTTTGGGACCTAAATGAATGAATCTTAAGTTAAGGAATCAAAATGTTCATTGTGTGAAATATGGAGGACCAGATCTGCTATTTTAGCATTGAAGAAATTGCAAAAAGGGCTGAAAGCCCGACACGAGTGTAGTGTCGACACGTAAGTCATGGTGTCAGCACCATGCGTTCAGTGTCCAGAGTTGATTTTCATGTTGTAATGCCATGTCAGATCTGATGTGGCATTTAACTTAGCCACCTTAACGGGGATTTAACATTTTCAGTTAATATTGACCGTGGGTGACTAACGGTTGGACACGTTGGGAAGTTAGGTGACCATTTTGTTAGGTTTAGAAGTTGAGTGACCAAAAGGTTGATTTTAATAAAGTTGGCCATGAGATTCACCCATAAAATTATTACAACTTTTTTTTTTTCTAGTAAGAATCAAGTTATTATAATTTATAACTGAGAGCAAGAGTTTTAAAAGCTGAAGCTTTATTTATTT